ACTTTTTCCCTGTGCCATGAAGTTATTTGTAATAATGTGGAATGGCACAGGGAAAAAGTATTGAACACATGAAGAAAGGGAGGTGTAAAAAGGCATGGAAAGCCAAGACACCAGCTGAACTCTCTCAGTAATTAGAAAGCAAGCACCTCTAGTAATATATTTACTGAGAAAAATGTTGACGTGTTCAATACTTATTTTACCCGCTGTATCACATTCATTTTTATAAACATTTTTTATAAACTCCTTATATTTTCTCTTGAATTGTGCAATATTTTTACTTTGCTTAATTTCATCATCCATTCCACAAAATGACTCCACAAACTGATACACACATATGAGTGCTGCAAACACATGGTTGTATTAAATTACCATTCCCTCTCAGATCATACCCTTAAATACATTTTGAATATTAAACTAATCTTACATCTTTCCTTGAGCACAGACAGAATCAAACATTTAAAAAAACAAAACAAATTAGAAGCTATTGTTCACCTCCTACCTCCACCTGTTCTCCTGCTCTCACCACGGATCACAGTTTGAGTTGTTCCCCACAGTTCCGCTGGTGCTGCGGTGCTGCAGCGAGTTCGTTGAACATCACGGGATCGTGGACGGGATCTACAGGCTGTCCGGAGTCTCGTCCAACATCCAGAAACTGAGGTCTGTGCTCATGCGTTTTGCTGCTTTTTCACCCCCGTGTCTCTTAAATACAGCGAGGTTTAAAACCAACTTCTGTTTTGTGTCAAAAAAAAATAAAAAATAAAAACTGCAGGAGTGAGTTTGAGAGCGAGGGGAGCCCGGATCTGAACAAAGATGTGTACCTGCAGGACATCCACTGCGTCAGCTCCTTGTGTAAAGCTTACTTCAGAGAGCTGCCCAACCCRCTGCTCACGTACCAGCTGTACGACAAGTTCGCTGTGAGTGCCATGGTTACACTGTAAAAGATATATTTAACACCTCATAAGATGCTTTTACCTAAAAACTAGGGGTGCAACAACACATGTACTCGTATCGAACCATTCAATACAGTGCTTTAGGTTTAATACACACTATGTTTTGAACAATACAGATTTTTTAAAAATTATTTTATCAACTTTTCTGAAGATGCTCTGTGTTGAAGGATCAGTGGATCTGTGTTCGACCACTCCACCTAGGCTGTATTGTCGAGGGCAGATCCACTGAGAAACTTGCTGTGTCAGCTGAATTTAATATAAAAACTGTACTTTTGAGGTTAAACAAATATTCATAATTAATTTCAATAAATTACAAGTTAAAAGCAGCATGGAAATTTATCTTATTTTGTATCGAAAAAACATCGAACCGTGAGACTAAAGTATCGAACCGAATCGTGAGTTTTCTGTATTGTTGCACCCCTACCAAAAAACTTTGGTGTAAGCATTAATTGATGATCGTGAATTTCAGCTTTGATGTCTGAATTCRTCACACAACTTAGACAGTAATGTTGTTTCTAAAACAAAGAACAATTAAATGTAAAATATATTTTATTAACTTTTATTTACTTAGCTCAAACCTCTTGATATGCAATAATGTTAGCAAGTCTGAAACAATTTTTTTGTGTTTCTTCACATTTTCATTGCAGTCTCTCTTTTTTTTAAATTTTATTCTTTTCCTTAGCAGGCAGGCTTTAGAGAAAAACACCAGCTTTTCTGATTCAATAGATGTTTGGAGGCCTAGTAAAACAGATGAAAGTGATTAAAAACCCCTATCTGTTTAAGACGGAACATTTTTTTCCTGCAGGAGGCGGTTGCCATCCAGCTGGAGGAGGAGAGGCTGGTAAAGATCAGAGATGTTCTTAAAGAGCTTCCTGCTCCACATTACAGGTACGCTCCTCTGCTGCAGATTTAAACCTTCAGATTACACATCGTTATTCTGCTGCAGATTCATCATCTGGCCCTGGAAACATAAAAGCTTGTTTATCGTAGCTCCTAATTGAAATATTAGTCTTTTTTTGTCTGGAGGTTAAAACTTGAAGCAGAAAGAGTTCTTCCTCAGAAAGCCTGGACTATATTTTTTTCTGCACAGTTTCCAGGAAGCCGTGTGACCTCAGGTTTCACCCATCCTGCACAGGAAGTTGGCAGGTTTTTACAGTAGGCAGGTCCTCAGAGATGCAGCGTGAAGAAAGACGCGTTTAGAAATGAAGCTTTTATAAGATTCTTTTTTATAGAAAAAAAAATTTTTCAACTCAAAATGTCTGGTTTATTGTCACTGAAAATAAAAATTAAATCAGACCTTCAGTCTATTAAATATAAAAAGGGAAATGTGGCTTTTTGTTTGTCATTAAAGTGTATCTTACCCCCCCTGTGAAAAGATGACTCCGCCCCAAGGTGAAATTTGAAAAATGCATCAAAGTGGGTAGGGGAGTGGGGTGGGGGTTAGAGAGCGGAGTTGTGGCCAGGACGAGAGAACGTGACAGGCAGCTAGGATTAGCATAATTGATGCTACATGGAGATTGACCACAGTATCGCAGATAGTAACATCTCTGAACGTCTGAGGTGGAGGATTTTCACCCCACACCAGCACCGGACAGAGGAGGAGGAGCGCTCCGACAGCCTGACAGAAAAAAATAAAAGCATACAGCTGCTCACATGATCGCTGGTTTAAATCAGGAATAAAAGTAGTTTACCTGTATAAAGAGCCTTAAAAAAATCCATAAATTTCAACCTCTTTGGACGTTTACCTGTATAAAGAGCCCTAAAAATCCATAAATTTTGCAAAAAAATCCTTATAACTCACACCCGCGGGGTGGGGGTGGGGTTTATCAGCTGCAGACATGAAAGCGCCTGCTGCGAAGCAGGAGGAAAGGAGAGAGGAAAAAGTGACTTATTTCTAGCGGCAGAACAAGTTGGAAGATGGTTGTTTGATGTTATTTATTGTTTTTTCAATCATCCAATAGGCTCTGACATG